TGGACTATCCTGTATATGATCTGCAGGGTATCCGAGATGCGCTGCGCCCATTTGGACCCACGGCTGTGTCTGTGGTGATGGGGGCTTGAATGTTCTTTTACTTTCGTCCGTATGTGTGGTGGGGGGGGTTCTGCCGTAAAATCCCCTCCTCAACGCGATACGGTAGTGGCAACTAGTAAGCGTCTTTTCCGCAGGCTGGGCGAACGGGGCTCTGGTCGTTTACATTCCATTGCCTTGCACTAATTTTTTCCCCATTTGCTTTCCAGGCGCAACTGTGGAACACATTTTTAATGATTCTGTTATCTGCTTGCAATCAGTCAATAAAATTTTCCTAAAATTGGTTTCATATTTCCCGACAACGCAAGAGTCGCGGCAACCAAGGCATCCAAGCCTTGAGTTGAAGACCAGCTTGCGTAGGTGAGAAAGGGGGGTGTAATTTTCCGATTTCGTCTATAGTCTCAGAGTGGTCCCGAAACCTTTTAGGACAACAGAGGGTCGCCTCTAACTGCATACGCTTAGCATTATGCACAATAGACCGGCAGCCTAACTGTGCCTGAAGCACTCATTAGGCTTCATGGGTGTTTCATGTCACGGTGTTACTAGTTACGTAATCGACAGAAATATTATTCAATCCGAAGATTCTATGACAGGGGCGCACCGTACATTTAATACCTCGTCTGTCGTTACATAGCATGTAGAGTCGCCAACGAAAACGGAACGAATGATTTCCAGCCACGACTGAGTTTCAAGGTTCAAAACCTACAATGGTGACACAAGTTGCCGTTGCTTTAGGCATAGCTGATAAGTATCGTCAACAGTCACATTAGAAGGTTGTGGCAATAGTGGTATTCCAAGCTCAGCGTACACTACCCACTAAATACGTCAACCACTGCTTACGCTATTTTGTGTGCTCAGATGATTGGTAAACCCTTCTTCATACCACAAAGATACTTTACGGTAAGGGGTGAACGACCAGAAATAGAAAATAGGTGACCACCTAGTAAACACGCCGCCGGTGGGCATCGGTGCAGAAAGGTGGCAAATAGGGGTGGCATCTTACGCTGGCCACCGGTGGTGCCAGAGCTGCAGCTCTGGTTCAACCGCAGACACTATCGTTGATCCGTTGACTCCAAACGACGCACCGATGGTTCTGTTATTATAAACCAAAGTTAGGGCTGTCCGTGAACACACTGGGTCTTGCACTCATTGAGAGGAACATAGACAATAGCACGCAGACTATTCCTTTCATTCAAACGAATAGCGGTTTCATAACTTGTGAACGATGCTGAGTGCAAACGATCAATACGCCAGCGTCAGCTGCTAAATCCGAGCTGTTCTGACTGATTACTTTTTGGTACCGCCAATAATCCCAAATACCATCTTCCTTTGAAGATATGGATAACTTTAGGAACAAAATGTAACATTACACTTTTTACAACCGAGCTATCTTACACTACGGGGAATCGCATACTCTTTGCGTTCATTAGATTAGAAAATCTAATAACGATGTAAATTTTCAAAAGATGCAACCGCGCTGTAATTCTCTGCTTCGTTTGAGAGGGTCAATCATAAACCGCAAATCCGCCATGTCGCCTTTTTGAATGCACCCGCCATCTAGATTTCAGCCAATCAGAATGGGGATGACGCCGCAAGTCGCGCGATGCACGGGTTTACCGGACAACCAGGCAAGCTAACTAGCTAACTCTCCTGGGAAGTCGATTCACACTCATGAAGCAAATGATTGACTGCTCCTAGTCACGAGATCCATACCGAAGCATACAACCACTGCATACGAGGCGCAGATGCTTAGCAGAGGTTTGCATCAGTGGCCGCTCATGGCTTGGTGGCCGAGCGGGGTGAGCTTGGTAGCGACTCTGGTGGTTCGCGTTTCAGGTCGGGACAACATCGCCCAACTTCTTTTCGACTTTCCCGGTTAACATGTTACTTCATAGGGTTCTACTGCTTTTGCTGAGTCATATAGCATTAAAATGTGATTTGCTAAGATGAAAGCAACTTAGTGTTCCGAGTGCGAAGTCTTAACTATGGTTACGTATCCATGACTATAGTTAAGTTTGAATCGAGATTTCCGAAAACACAAATGTCGAGTTCCTTTCATTAGAAGTAATGTGGGAAGTCAGAAAAAGGTGGTGTGAAGGAAGGCAGTTCGATGGGTACCTAAGGTACGCGGATACGTTCTGTGATGTTAAGATTTTTTATTCATAAGCGTCCGACCTAGGTAGTGCCGACCGAAAGGTGCATTATTGCCATTTCATTTAGAGTGTTTGGGCCGGTTAACGCCATACGCCTAGGACCGATTTAGTGGGAGCCACAGCACATAATCGGAAGGGGGGGGCGAGATGGCTCAAGTAGTTAGAGCGCGAATTTACTGACCGGAAGGTCCGTGGTTCGAACCCGACCTCTCTATCTCGACTTCCCCTGTCTAGGCTTGGGCAGCCTAGCAGTATTCCAGCCCTCGTGCTTCCTTCTGGTGGCATGGCAGCTAGGCACCGGAAGAGTGCCACAGCTGAACGATTTTTTTACAGTCGTACCTTGATTTTCGCGACGGCAATTAGCTGCACTTTGAGAATCCATGATGTCTTCGTGTTCTTTTACGAGCTCATGGTTGTTGCCATGTCACCATATGGGCTTTGCTTCTAAGTAACATGGTCAGTCGCAGCTTCCGTTGGTTGTCAAGTAGGTGAACTATATTTAACCATCGGCTACCGTTGCTGAGAATAGTGTATCAGTACAGGTTGCCCCCAAAGGCAAGTCATCTAAATTAAGTGTTGCTCGAAATGTCTCATCGGATATTTGCAAGGCAATAGTTCAACTGGGTTCGTTTGATCTTGATTCTTGCTATCGCTTCTTGCGAACGTTTGCTGACTAGGTTTGTGCAGGTCGTGTTCCAAGCTGCGTGTTATCAACTGAAGGTGTCACAGGCGCATCAGGGGTTGAAATGCTGACAGGGGCATCCACATCTTTGGCGGCCTATGGTGACAGGATATCCTCGCTAGCCGTAGAAGAGCCTGTGAGGTGCAACGATCAATCTAGCACCTCCAACACCACTACACGCAGTTACGCCCGGAAAAGTCCTCTCCCGCTTTGCGAGAACGGGCGCTCTCAGATGAATTGCACACACCGCAGATAGCGTCAGTATGTAACGCCATTGGCTCCTTACAGTGCATCGCCGCGGTGCTGTACTTCGCGGTTTTCTATGGAGGGAAATGTTGGTAGCTCAACCACACAACCACTCACCCACCGCTACGCACCACCACGCCCCCCAATAACGCACTGATGATGTCACCTCGATTGGTACTGAAACGTTTGCAAGCTAATTAGCCAGCTCAACGAACAAGCCAACGACCATACTTCACGGTGTTTCGCACCTTGTGATCATTTACCTTTATACATTGCAGTTAGTAGTTATCATCCTGCAGATCGAAAGTTTCGTCTAGCGCAGCCATCTTGTCTTCGGGTTCGAACCACGGACCTTCCGGTCAGTAATTTCGCGCTCTAACTACTTGAGCCATCTCGCCCATGAAAGACTTAGAATATCTCAACAAACCAAACACCACGCATTCCAGCTGGGCAGTTAGATGCCGGTTTGCAGCATATACTTGCGAGTCGGACGTACGCAAGTCACGTGAATGTTGCATGTTGAAACTGACGATTACTAGACTACCGCATGAAGCACCGGCAGTCGAACTTGGCGTACCTGAACATCAACATACCGACGATCCTTTTATTAGCGTTCCAGTGTGAACGCTCATGTGCGCATTTGTATACCATGAACGCATAATGGATGGATGGTGCGGGTACGTCACCTATAATCTGTTCATATTTTGTCGCCAATAAACTGTGTTGGCGTGCGTAAGACGTGCCCGTTCCACGTTGGTATTCTCACAGTTTTGGCTGGAATTCCTCGATGGAACCACACTCACGAGAGGGAAAATACTCCAACATCTGTCTTCTTTATGTTAGGTTCATCCGACGATACATTCTGTGAGTCTAGTAGACATTGCATCATACTACAAAATCATTTTATTTTATACCAATTCACTGGAGGAGGTACTTGGCTTTGGCATAATAGGCACCGGCCGTACACTAGTCGCGTTTGACATGTGGACACCCGGACCGCAAGCAGAACAGGCTCCGCGCCGGTTTAAATACCATCATATCATATGGCCCCTATGGCCTTGAGATATTAGGAGCCCGGTCCAGACCGCAAGACGCTAACTGCGAAGAATGCGTCCATCACAATAAGTTGCGTTCATTAGGTCGCGCATGCTGAACCACCGTATGCTGAAGAGAATGCTGTAGTGGGAGCGGGGGTGGCCAACGTTCGGCCTGGCCGAGGAGTATGAAAGCGGTTTGGCTGCTGTGAGTGCATGGCAGCTAGATACCGAAAGGGTATTACAGTGATCGGTGTAGGTGCAACTCGTCCTATAGATTGAGGTGATCCCACGTGGTCCCCACTGGGTCTAGTTGAAGGGGTTGCAAGATATGGCTGCTAATGGATATCAGTGAGGTGCTTGTCAGTTTCTGTCCAAATTGTGTAAATGAATGTCTGGAGGTTAGGCACCTCTGAGTGATTGTGGTAGTCCCTTCGCCATTCACCTTTATTCTTTTCTTCACACTAAGGCCTTTAGTTAGATTATGTTATCAGAGCTGCAAAAAATATCTCTCAGCTGTAGCACCCTTTCGGTGCCTAGCTGCCATACCAGCCGAAGGAAACACGAGGACTGGAATACTGCCAAGCTGCCCAAACCTAGGCTGGGGAAGTTGAGGGACAGGAGTCGGGTTCGAACCACGCACCTTCCGGTCGGTGAATTCGCACTCTAACCACTGAGCCATCTCGCCCCTATTCGAGCTGCAGAAAGTCGGTGTTGTTGTGGCGGTGTTAAAGTGATTATGTCGGGCATCCATCCGACATTCTCAGATAATTTCCGACCTCTTCATCTATCCTTGGTGTTGTTACTTACGACCTCTGAGTTGCCCGAGGAATGGGTCCGTTTACCTCTCGGAAAAACTTTCAACATGGTTTTTCTAAAGCTGGTTTCCTTGTATCAGTTAGGATTGATTGCCTTAGCGATATCCAGTGGTTAGTCAATCTTGGATGGTCGGACATACGGCTTTTAGCGCTTCTATCATAGTTCTAACATTTCTCCATTTTTCTTCCGCTTGCTCATCTCAAACACCGTTATTTCATTGCAAAAAGTAGTTGAGCCAGCTTAGATCAGTACTGCTGAGCTGTATGTTGTGTTCTCTACTAATCAGTCAATCAACCTTGTCAGTTACACACGAAATTGAGAAGACAAAAAGCCTTGAGGAAATTATACTGCGGCAACTGAACAGCCAATATCGAGATTCGAAGAATCA